GGCGTGGGAGGTGGCGTGGGGGCAGCTACGCTACTCGGTACCCGAGGAGATGCCGAAGGGTACGTTCGTGGGCGACGTGGCCAAGGACCTGGGGCTGCAGCTGCCGATGTTCCGCGACCACGGCGTTCACGTTATGCAAGAAGGTAAGGGACAGTATTTCTCTCTGAACATAAAGACTGGCCATTTGTATGTAAACGAACGAATCGATCGTGAAGAACTCTGTGGACGAAAAGCGGACTGCGCATTAAAATTGGAAATTCTTCTTCAGGGAGAAATGAAAATATATAAGGTGGCTATTCAGGTTACTGATATTAATGATAACAACCCCGTCTTTGAACTCAGTGAATTCGTTTTGAGAGCAAGTGAAAACGCAGCTAAAGGCTCGCGCTACCTCTTGCCTAATGCACAAGACCCTGACATAGAGCAGAACACTGTACAGACCTATGGACTTAGCGATAACAAATATTTCACCCTGGAAGTACAAACTGGACCGGATGGCTCCAAATTCGCCGAGCTGGTGCTGGCCAAGGCGTTGGACCGGGAGGAGGCGGCGTTTCACGATCTGGTGCTGAGGGCGAGCGATGGCGGAGAGCCGTCGAGGACGGGCACGGCGCGGATCCGCGTGGCGGTGCTGGACGCGAACGACAACGCGCCGGTGTTCAGCCAGGCGGAGTACACAGTTCGTGTGCCGGAGGACGTCCCCGTGGGGACGCGGCTGCTCACTGTAAACGCGACGGACGCAGATGAAGGAATTAATTCAGAGATAACTTACAGGTTTCGAAAAATTACAGGGAAGGCCTCTCAGTTGTTTTATTTGGATCCTAAGACAGGGGAATTAACAACTCGCTCCAACTTGAACTATGAGGAAGATGAAAGTTATGAGTTAGAGATAGAGGCCCAGGATGGAGCTGGACTCTCAACCCGCGGGAAAATACTGGTGCGCATTGATGACACAAACGATAACGTTCCCGAGATTACAGTGTCAAGCAGCGTAACAGACATTACTGAAGATGCGCCAGTGGGAACAGTCGTTGCTCTTTTAAGAGTCAGGGACCGGGATTCGGGAGCGAATGGAGATGTGAAGCTGTCCCTGCCAGACCGTCTGCCATTCCGGCTGGA